AAACTTTAGACCTTCGAATGAAGACCTGAAGTTAGGCTTTGATAGTTAAAAAACTTGAGATCCTAATGTCTAAAGAAGGAGGAGGAGAAGGAGAAAGAGGAAGAATTTGAAGTTTACCGAATTTCACTGTATTTTAAATAATTTTTAAAATCTGATGAATATGTTTTAACGGTGCCCTAGAAATCAGCTACCTGTTGCCATTTTTACCTTACTATGTGTACATAGTCAGATAAAGCAGAATTAGTCACTACCATATTGGAAAATAGAATAACTATATTGGAAAATAGTAATAATTTGATTATGAATGGTAACATATGAAATCATACCTAATGTAACTACTTAAAGTTTAATACGGTAATCTATCTATATCTATACTATCTTAAAAGCACGGAGACCCTTAGCGAAATGTCATTTGCCTTTTTTAATTTCACACTGAATAAATGTCACGACCCAAAATCAACCGTCGTGATGACGCCTATCGTGGAGCTAGGCAAGCCTCAACTCAGCAAACCCAATCACAACAACAATAAGTTTGAAAATATTAACGGAAGCATTTAACATTTAAAGAAAACTGAAACATAAGAAATCCCAATATACGATACAATCCAGCCCAAAACCGGAGTGTCAATGAGTACATGAGCATCTAGATCAGAATACAGTCTACTACAGTGTCTAGAGATACAAACTGAAAGTACGACAAAATATAAAGAAGGATAGTCAAGGCCCGCGAACGCCATGCAGCTACCTCGATAGTCTCCAAACTCTGGAACCTCAATCAGCAACCGCTGCTGCGATCGATATCGTCTGGATCTGCACACGAGGTGCAGGGAGTAACGTGAGTACACCAACTCAGTAAGTGACAAGTCCAAACTTTGGACTGAAAGGTAGTGACGAACTCAACTGCAACAGATATAACAAAAATAATATGCAGAAATGTAAGCATGCTTTCAAGTAAAATAAACAGCTCAGGGCAATAAAATAAATACAGATCTGAACAGTGTAAGGTATACAACTCAGCTATCTCTACATGCAAATGCACAGACTGTATGAAATGCACCATATACTCCCATTCACAAGTGCTCAACCACTCGGTACTGTATATGGCCATCCGGCCCAGGGAAATCCATCCCAGAACATATACAACACTGACTCTGAGTCACTCAGTACCGAGGAAAAAGGGCAATCCAACCCTGTAGAGAAATCCATCTCCAGGTATCAAGTACTTCGGACAAATCCATGTCCAGGGAAATCCATCCCTCAATAATATCATCCGCGCTCACTGGGGGTGCGTTACAGACTCCGGAGGGGCTCCTACAGCCCAAGCACTATCATAATCATCAATATAACCGCTGCAGCATGCAGCCCGATCCCATAACTGTCACTCATACTCAGGCTCTCGGCCTCACTCAGTCATCAACCTCTCCAATCTCACCCACGGGCTCACAATGTCATGAAAATAAACCCGGAACAATAATATGATGAATCAATAAATAACTGAGACTGAGATATGATATAAAAATGCATGAACATGACTGAGTACGGAATATTAATGAAAATAATGAGATGACAGCAAGAAACGACCACCAAGGGTCCCAACAATACCGGCATAAAGCCTAAACATGATATCTAGCATGATTTACAGCTCGACTACTTTATCACATGATGAAAATATGGATATCAACGGGATAGAGTCACTAAACGGTGCCATGAAATCACCCAGGTCACAGTTCTCACTGTGCACGCCCGTCACTTGGCATGTGTGTCACCTCAATTTTAATCACATAGCAGATAGTTTGGGGTTTCGAACCCTCAGAACAAAGTTTGGAAGCGTTACTTACCTCAAACCAAGCAAAATCCTACTCCGCAATGCCCTTGCCTCTCAAATCAGCCTCCAAACGTCCCGAATCTAGCCACAAGTAATACAATACAATCAATATAGACTAAAGGGGTCAATTCCACAAGAAAACTATCAAATTAGAGTAAAAATCCGAAATCGACTCAACCCCCCCC